CGCCGAAGAGATCGTCGAAGGTTCACGGAGATCACCGAGAAGGCTCGGCTACTCGTTAAAGTCATCACAAGATCGGGAGCTTGCTGGGAGTCCGTCGGAAGAAGTTCGTCGGAAAGCTCGCCGGAACACGACTCGACGTTCGCGGTTGAAAACTTGCTTAGGATGTGTTTAGTTATGTAGTTCGCTTGTAATTAGGATTAGGATTAAGAGATAATCCTATATCCTGGTTAGGGGCCCAATTGGGCCAAAATTAGATTTGGTTTGGGCTAAATTTGAAGCCTAACCAGTGAACTGAAGGGTCTGGCGGTGGCACCGCCAGACTGGGCAGTTGCACCGCCCAGCACCCGAGAGCTGGGCGGTGGCACCGCCCAGCACTGTCAGTGTCAGACACTGACAGGCGGTGGCACCGCCAACATCGGGAACCAAAGAGAATTCAAATTTTGGAGCCCAAATTTGAATCCTCTTGAGGCCTATAAATACCCCTCAAATCTCGACTGAGATTATAACTTTTTGAGAAGCAATTGTTTGAGAGAAAGGCCTTAGAAAAGTCTTAGCTAGTCTTGTTTTCAATTTGCTAGTGTTCACCTCCTTATTTCTTGTTGAAAATCTGTAAGAGAGTGAACCGCTTGTAAAAAGTTGTAAGAGGGGTATTTACCCTTTCCTTTCAAGAGATTTGCTAGTGGAAGGTGGGAGCCTCATCGAAGAGGGGCCTCGCAAGTGGATGTAGGTCATTTGACCAAACCACTGTAAAATCGGCGCAATCTCTGGTTTGTATTTCATTATTGCTATTTACATTACTGCAAACCTTCTTACTTGCTTTATTTCCTCATTACCTTTGCTGCACAACTTTGCGAATACGGTTTCAAGTTAAGCACTTCCGATTCCGATTTTTATCGTACGAAAGATTTATCAAAACCGACGTTTTAATCCGCTGCACTAATTCACCCCCCCCCCCTTTTAGAGCCGCTCCGATCCTAACAACGATATCTTCACGGGACTATCAATCATGGCCTCTTTTTTCGTAAACACTCCCCCCTTCATCTCCATGCCTTTGCTGATGTTGATTAGGCAGGGAATTTTGATGACAGAACATTCACATCGGGGTATATTCTTTTCCTTGGACCTAATCCAATCAGTTGGAGTTCTAAGAAGCAAAAGACAATTGCACGTTCTACAACTGAAGTTGAATACCGTGCCATTGCCACCGGTGTTGCAGAAGTTAATTGGGTCATGAATCTCCTCAAGGAACTTGGCATCAACATCAACTCTACTCCTATAATATATTGTGACAATGTCGGAGCCACTTATCTATGCGCCAATCCAGTATTCCACTCCCGTATGAAACACATCGCCATGGTCATTCACTTTATGTGAGAACAAGTTATCAGACATCAATTACGTGTTTCTCATGTACATACTGCTGATCAACTAGCGAACTCCCTCACAAAGCCTCTCACCCGCGGGCATGATAACAGTCAAGATCTCTTGTGATAACAACCTCAACAATAGCCAATGTCTCCCTAACTACATGATAAGATATCAGAAAGCTGTTAAGGAAAATCATCCTCTATTGAGAAAAATTCTCCCATGTATAAATATGGAGTATTATGTATTATTTTAATCAATACAATCTTTTTCTTTCTATTTTATTTCTATCAAATGAAACCCTTTCAACTTTCATTGTAGATGCTGGATTTCACAAATGCATGTAGATGATATTCTTTTTACTTTCAAGATTAACAAAAAGAAAATCTTTTGAGATAATAAAAAATACCTTTCACATATACGAGTCTCTCACCGATCAAAAGTTAAATATAAAGAAATATAAAATATTTACTCCTCCAGGTACCCACCGGGATAAACACGTTGATATATATAATTTCTTCAAGGTAAGAGAAGATATATTTTCTTTCAAATACTCAGTGTTCTTATTACCCCTCATTGGCTCCACAGTAATGCTTCTTATGATTATATCTCTCAATGGATTAATAATAAATTGGGTAATTAGATAGGCTCTAAGCTCTCATTGGTTATAAGAGTTGCTTTAATTAACTTGGTCTTACTTTCTTCTAGAGTTCATTCCCTTTTGGATGCCCAAAACAGCCGCTAATTCCATTGAGAAAATTGGAAGCGATTTTTTTGACGGAAGTATGATAGTACTAAGAGGATAATTGCCATTTCTTAGGAGATCGTTAGTAGACCAAAGCAGGAAGATGGGCTCGATATAGAAGATAGTGAATTTCATGGCCTATTCCTTGCAAACTTAAGTCAAAGCAAGGAGATTCGGTTTGATGTGGTAAATGCTAAATATCGGATAACATCCTTTGGAGTGATAAATATGCTGCTAGTGGTTTCTAGGCATCCAAAACGAACCGAACATTTCCTTCTGTTTTCTAAATAATTGGAATTCTAGAAAATGGCATTACGACGAACAGGATTTAGAGGGTCCCTCTGCTCTTTTATAAACCATTATTGCAAGTTTCCTCTGGTCATTTTGGAAAAATAGGAATGAAACCCTTTCTAAGCCTCTGTCCATTTGGTATAAGATCCAAGCTTTGTCTTGAGAAAACACCTCTTTCAAACTGTCCAAGGATGAATATGGTATTGAAACCATAGTTAATTGTCCCAAACACAACGGTGTCTTTTTTTTTTTTAACTGTATTGTGATGGTTGTCTCTTATTTAATGCAGCCTTTGCTGGTACAAGTTTTATCATTCGAGACAAATTTGGTTCAGTTGTTGCTATAGGTGGGATGGCAAGGAAGATCTGATCCACAACGAGAGCTGGGCGGTGAGGGATGACCTTCCTTCTACGAGCATGGCAAGAAGGCATCTACAGTGTTCTAGTTCGCATAGATCTCTTCAACTGGTTAATATTCTTGAAGGAGCATATATGGCTCAATGGCATCATTCAATCTCCAGGTTAAATATTATCTTTTTCTGTTTTAGCCCAAAATATTTATGTTATAGCATGGGTCCATATTCCTAGAAAAGTCAAATCATTTTTCTCATAATCTTGTCAATCAAGCAAGAATAAAAAGAATATTTCTCAGGCAATTTGTGCAACTTGTGCCAATTCAATCTTGTCAATCAGGCAAGGATAAAATTCTCATGGTTTTTGGTCAACTTTTACTAGTTGAATGATATAGTGTTTTCTTTGGAAGCTTTTTGCCAAGGCCCTTAAGTTGTTAGGCAATGGATTTTCTCATGTAATCAATCTGTGACGATTGTTCAATTAGTATTTACTATGATAATTAACTTTTTAATATATCTATTTCATTGAAGCCTGATTTTCTTAACATGTCTATCTATTTTTGACTTTAATATGATGTTTGATTTATTTATAAATGATCAAGGAAATTAGAGATCTACTGAAATGCTATTTGGGCCCTTTTTGGCTGCCAGTATGCAAAGGATACCATCTATCAAACTCGTTAAAAATTTTGTAGAAAGCTGACCATGAGGGCCAACCGTTAGCTAAACATACTTATAGGCATTCCTTTGCTCTTGTAATGACCCAGCTAGTAATACTAATAAATAGGACTCTAATCTTTTGTTGAAAATTGTTTTATAAAAAAATCTAATCATTTGAGGTAGGATTATGCAATAAGTTAGAAAACATATTAATTAATTTTGAAAAAGAATAAAGTAAAAAAGTTAACAATGTCATTAATTAGATAGGACGTTTTTAAAAATGCTAGAATTAAGCTAAAAAAATTTATTTTACCATTTATTGCTGTCACCAGTAACTAACCGACACAGTATCCACCTAGCCAGTTAATGTATAAAAAAATGGGTTAAATAATGATTTTTATTTTGTTTTTAATTGGGAAATGTAAATATGGGCCAAGAAAAGTTTGTCTCCATCAGGAATAGACCACAACCAATAACGACCACGTGGACGGCAGCAACAAATCAATCAGATACGAGTGTTAGGACGCTGAAAGCAACGGTCGTTGTTAACGTGGGCAACGCTTTCCGGATGGGTTTCCGGTTTCGTGACGAGGAACAGCGGCACGGTCCACCACAAGCGTCCACCTGGGTACCACCAGTCATAGATCGGTTGGTGAGATGGGTATGCGGCGAGGGTTTCGTTTTTATCTGTGAGGCATCTGCCGAGGCCGAACGACGAAGCACGTCCCACGGGAACAAGCGGCACGGCGAGCTCTGGTGGTGGTTCGTCCACACGCGTCACTAGAATAATAGCAACCGTCATCTATTTCCCACCAAACCTCTCCGCCCCTGCATTCCCCTTCACGCAACTCCCCGGCCCACGTTTTTCACTTCCCTGGCCGCATCGTCATCCCCGCGACCAACGGGTGCTCCGGGATGGCGTTACCGGGAGACCAAAACAAAATAAATAAATAAATGCAGCACGTCCTCCGACCCCGTCCCGTCGCTCAATTGGTGCAGTTAAAAGGGCCCACGTCGCTATCACCAACCGGTAAGCGCCATGGTGGGCGGGAAACAATTATTTTCGGAAAAAGGGGAAGGACGAGCACTAAACCGATATTTGCATCCCGTCCATTGGAACCCGCTTTCGATTGGGCAGCAGGGTGGGAGCCAGCCGCTGCGCTGTTGCCGCCGCCATTGACGCTGTAGGTACGCATGGTGGTAATTTGGTAGATGCTCGACCGGGATCCAGACGCGACTCCCAACCTCTGCCGTAGCTGAGACGTTCTGCCGGCCTGACTCGCCTAACCAAGAGAGCAAGGGCCTCATGATCTCACACCAGTTTGTTACCGTGAGCGTTCGACACGAGCACAGTTAGCAACAGAGAAAGGAAAGGACGGCATCCCAACCGTCTCTTATTTTCTACTTCTGCAGTGAACAGGGCCCGCCCTCCCCTAATGTCACTTTAATTGGAGTGACCGACGAAAAAGGAATACAAATAAAAATTCCGTGGCGGTGTTATTAATAAGGCGAGGGGAGTTGGCTGATACGTGGATTGTCTACTTTTAGATCCATTGTGTTACCGCAGACGAGGAGAAGAGGAAGACTAGTCACCATGAGGAAAAGCCGTCGCCAACCTCGTTAGGTTTCTTTCTTTCTCCCCATGGCGTCTGGGATACCCGGACGCAAGCTCGGCTACGAGGGAAGCGGAGGTGGCGGTGGAGGAGGAAACCTCTTTAAGAGGACGCTGGCGGATATGGAAAGGCAGCTGCAGAACGCGCTTTTGCTGCGGTCGGTGAGGCAAAGAACTCAGACCATGCCTTCAATCTTCAGTTTTTCTTATGGAGTCGGAGGTCTCGTTTGCAACTCGTTCACCGCCGCTGAGCCGCAGAGACTGGTTTCTTCCTTGCCGTCCGCCAGTTCCTCGGAGTTTGGGTTGCCACGGAAACCCGAGTTGCTCCTCGTCTCGTCGGTTCCGGAGGATAGGTCTCCCGTCTCGGTTAGTGACCAACTCCGGGAGCTGGAGCGGCAGCTCCTGTTGGACGACGAGGACGAGGCCGAGGCCAGCGTGTCGTGCGGCTCCGCCGCCACCCACGCCGAGGCGATCCAGCGGCTGATTTCGCCGCCGCCGCTGCTCGCGTCGCCAACTAACTCCTCTTCTTCCACCATCTCCTTCGCCTCCTGCTCTCCACCCTCGTCCATGCCCTCCCCACCTCTTCCTCCTTCCTCGAGGCAGATGCTTCTTGATACCGCCACCGCCCTCGGCGAAGGGAATTTGGACGCGGCGACAGCAAATCTGACCCTGCTAAAGCGCGCGGCTGATACGCGAGGTGATGCCGAACATCGCCTCATGGCGGTGATGGTCACCGCGCTTCTATCTCGCCTCAATCATCCGCAGGTGGGAATCTCCCACCCGATCGCGGACCTCCGCAGCCCGGAGCACTTCGCTGCCACCCAGATGCTCTATAGTCTATCTCCCTGCTTCAAGCTCGGATTCGTCACTGCCAATTCTGCGATCTTGGATGCCACGAAGGACGAACCTAAGATTCACATCCTCGACTTTGAAGTCGGGCAGGGTGGCCAATACGCCGCTCTCATCCAGACCGTCGCCGAGCGCCTACGACTCCGCCCCGCCAAATCCCCACCTGCCATCAGGATCACCGCCATCATCGACCCCTCCTCCCCGTTCACCAATATCAACGCCGGAAACTTGAGGGCTGTTGGCGACCGGATCAAGAAGCTAGCGGAAAGGTTCCGCGTGGTGCTCCATTTCAACATCGTCTCTCTGCGAGTGGCAGAGTTGGGCGCGGCTTCGCTCGGGTGCGAGACCGGGGAGGAGACCCTAGTCGTGAACCTTCCGTTCGTCCTCTCGAGGGTTCCCGACGAGAGCGTCTCCCCGGAGAACCCCCGCGACGAGCTTCTCCGGCGCGTGTGCGCCCTCCGGCCGCGGCTGGTGGCGATTGCGGAGCAGGAGATCAACACCAGCACCGCGCCGTTTCCCGCTCGGCTCGCCGAGGCGTGCAGGCACTACGGGGCGCTGCTGGAGTCGCTGGAGGCGGCGGCGCAGGACAGCTCGGGCCCAGAGCGGGGGCGGGTGGAGGCCGGGTTGGCGCGGCGGGCGGTGAACGCGGTGGCGGGGGAGGGGGCGGAACGGGTGGAGCGGTGCGAGGTGTTGGGCAAGTGGCGGGCGCGGATGAGCATGGCCGGGTTCGAGCCGGTACCTCTGGGGCCGACCGTGGTGGAGTCCATCAAGGCCCGGCTCGCCTCATCCTGGCCCAACCCGGGGTTCACCGTGAAGGAGGATGCCGGCAGCCTCGCGCTCGGGTTCGCTTGGATGAATCGGGTGCTCACTGTCGCGTCGGCGTGGCGTTAGGCGGAGTTTTCATCAATTATTATAAATATAAATAGATAAATATTATTATCGCCATCATTATTAATTATTAATTGTTGGAGACGTGGCCCACTTTTTTTTTTTTTTTTACCAGTTGTGATTTGGTTATTGGTGTTTATTATGATCAACTTTATAGGGAAAGGGACGACAGGCGCTATATATTGGTATCTGTGGTTGTTGTTGAACCTTGTAACTCCATCTTAATACCTTCTAATTTTTAATGTTACGTGTTTTAACTTCACACGATTTACACCAACTAAGCTAATTGCACAAACTTAGTCAAGTGATTCACACCTATTACAACGAACTTTTCATCAAATTTCGACATCAGATATGTTAATTTTTTATATATATTTATTTTGTAAAATATGAATGAAGTTTACATGTACGTGTACGTAGAAAACCTTCATGTTAAAGTCGTGAATTTCACGTTAGGATTTAGTCTGCATCCACCTGCACTCTGGAATCTATGACCTCTTGAGAAGGACAAGGATATGGTGTCGGGGATGTGTCACAGAAGCATAGATCTAGATTATAGTGAGCTCTCGTTGCTGCCAGAACAGTACCCTCACAGAAGCATCAGCAGTCGTTGGACACCAATAAAACACCAATAAATCATTTTGATATGCTTGTAAACATCGCTGTCATTACCTATCTGAACATAAGATTGCCACGAGCAAAAAAAGGAACAAAATGGATCCAACATTTTCAAATAAAAATCAGAAAAAAAGAAACTCTTCTATATTTTTCTTTAATTTTCCTATCAAACAAAAACTTGTATTTTCATTTCGATACGTTCATAATCATTTCCACCGAGAAAAAAATATTGTTATGAATGAACGACCACTTTTCCTATTTTATTTTATTTATTTTCGATTAAATGAACACTAGAATAAATATTTTTTATTTTATGAAAAAGGAAAACAAGGATGAGAAGAAGAGAAAAAAACATGGATATACTTGTGGTTGGTTACCTTTGATTACGTACGTGCTCGGGGACGATTACTTAATATTTATCTAGAAAGGCATCGTGCGTAGTTTACATAATGAATAATCCTACCGAAACGTGTCGCCGATGCTGTCTTGCGTGTGCTAGGTTGAACCACAAGTCTCCGCCTATAAAGCAGCCGGCCTTGTGCTCCAATACACGTGTCGTCCAACTGCACAGTCTCGCCACAGTCGGAGTAATCATCCTTCAGCGCAAGGACGATAAAAAATTCCATCCAAACATGTTTCTACGGTAGAAACCACCGAGCACAGCAGCATTTGTGTTGCTTCAGTGGGGATTATTTGATTAATTAATCAGGTTCGGAACGGACTTAATCGAAGGATTAAAAGTAGCAGAATAAGATTGGATTCAGATATTTAAATAGTTAGTTTTAGGCATTCAATCCAATGCAACCCCTGCGATCCAGAACACATCACGTGGTTTTTCCGTGCATCCCAAGCTATAGGAGATGAGGAATAGGCAAATGTTGCTTTCAGGCTGTGCAGGAAAACATTCGGTACATTTTCCACTAGAACAGCAGGCACACAGAATCACGGAAAGGAAACCGCATTAAACTCCATCCCATTGGTTTGGCTATTATATATGTTATGTTTGTTAGGATCATAAACGTATTAAGAGGAGGTGAATTTGTATTTTCGAAGAACTACGATTTGAAAGTTTGATTAATGAATCGATTGATAAAAAGTATAATTAAGAATTACTTAATAAGTAAATCAGTGAGTAATAGTAAATCAAGACAATAGTAAATTACTGAAAGTAAATGCAAACCGAGTTTATAGTAATTCGATCATCGTGATCTATATCCACTCCCGATTCCTTCTCCTTCGAGACCATCGGGCATCCACTATTAGTTTTTCTTAAATAAGCAAAGACCAACCACCTTTTACAGCTCTTTCTCCTTTTACCGGGTTTATGATATAACTCTTATAACCCCACTTACTCCTATCTTAAACTATTCTAATACTTAGAAGAAGGATAGGAGTTCATACAAGATTACATCAGCGTTTCTTTCTTTTTCACTCTCAATACTTATATATTTTAACCACATATAAGAGGGGTATTTATAGACTTCAAGTTGATTCAAACTTGAAGCCTAAAAATATCTCATCCCGAGTTTCCTATGGGTGGTACCACCGCCTATGCTGGGCGGTACCACTGCTAGTGTTAGTCTGACACTAGGCGGTACCACCGCCTGACAGGGGGGGTGCCATCGCTTGGCACCCTGCCACTAGATAGTACTACCGCTTAGTATAGGTGGTACCACCGCCTGACAAGGGGGGTGCCATCGCTTGGCACCCTACCACTAGATAGTACCACTGCCCAATCTAGGCGGTACCACCGCCTACAGCCTCTCGGAGACAGTATCTGGGCGATACCACCGCCTAGACCAACGGTACCACTGCCTGACACGGTCTCGGAGACTGTGCAATGACGGTGTTAACTCTTGGGTCACTGTTTGGGCCTTTTCATTGGGCCCAACATAGTTCATACATGGGCCTAACTAGCCCCTAATTGGGTTGGCCCAATTCCAATCCTAATTATGTGCTAACTACGAATTCTAAGATATTTACTAAGCTAAACAAGTCCATAAGTCTAGTTTCTTTCGGCGAGCTTCCGACGAACTTCCGATGATCTATCAAAAATATACCAGCGGACTCCCGGTAAGCTCTTGGACTTCACGACGATTTTTTTGGCGAGTTTAGATGGCTTCTTTGGTAAGTTCCTGGACTTCTTGGTCAATTTCAGTAGAACTTCCGACGAACGTCCGGACTTCCAACGAACTCTCAAACTCTCAACGAAAGCGATATCTCATGTCTCATTGGTATGAGATATCTCTTGAAAATTTTCATTCCAAACCTTTTGATAATATTATCTATGTACTTGGATTAGGACAAGCCAAGCATCCTCTTGGATCTATCTCTATAGATCCGAATCCCCAAGATATATGATGCTTCCTTTGAGTCCTTCATGGAGAAGTGTCTAGATAACCAAGTCTTTATCATGGATAGCATTCCTACATCATTCCCAATGATCAGGATATCATCCACATATAACACCAAAAAGGTCATAGCACTCCTAATTACCTTCCTGTACATACAAGGCTCATCTTCGTTCTTAACGAAGTCATAAGATCTGATTGCCTCATCAAATCTTATGTTCCAACTTTGGGAAGCTTGCTTTAGTCCATAAATGGACCTAAGCAACTTACACATCTTATTTGGGCAGTCCTTGGACTCGAATCCCTCAAGCTATATCATATACATCTCCTCCTCGAGGTTGCCATTGAGGAATGTGATTTTTACGTCCATTTGCCAAATCTTATAATCATAGTATACTACAATAGCCAATAGAATTCAGGTATATTTTAGCATGGCTACGGGTGAGAAGGTTTTGTCATAGTCAACACCTTGTCTTTAACGATACCCCTTAGCCACTAGCATTGCTTTATAGGTCTCTACATTTCTATCTACTCTGATCTTCTTCTTGAAAATCCACTTGCAATCGATAGGTACAATACTCTCGGATGTATCAACTAGGTTCCAAACCTTATTGGAGTACATGGAATCCATCTCAAAATTCATAGCTTCTTGCCACTTTCTAGAGTCTATACTCGTAATAGCCTCCTCGTAGGTCTGAGGATCAATATCCTCAATATCCCCTCCTCTAATATATCCCATATATCTCTCAGGAGGATGAGATACTCTATCGGACCTACGTAATATCGAAACTTGTGTGCTAGGTGTTAGGATTAAGAGCGGCACTAAGAAGGGGGTGAATTAGTGTAGTAGAAAAATTACTTATTTCAAAAGTCTTCGTTTCGATTAAACCTGATTCCGACGAAAATCGTTTCATAAAGATTTTAACTTGAAAGCATATAGGAGCGTAGAGAAAGTAGTAAGAAGGTAAAGTAGCTTGCAAGAATGGTAAATTGCTTAAGACGAAATATAAACTAGAATTTAGAGTGGTTCGGTCGATGTGACCTACATCCACTTTTGGATTCCTCCTTCGTTGAGGTCACCGGCGTCAACTAATGACCTTCCTCCAATAGGAGAAGACCAAACACCTTTTATAGCGCTTTCTCCTTTTCAGGGGTTTAGGATATAACCCTTACAAGTCTTATACATCTTTTGAATAATCTCAACACTTAGAAAGGAAGGAGTACTCTAGTACTTTTACAACACTTTAACACTTCAAAGACTCAAGATTATCCCAATACTTTCGTGCCCTTTCATGTAGAAAAGGGCATGAAAGTATGGGCCCCAATGGCTTCAAAATTGGAGCCAAAAAGTGTCTCATACCGATTTTTCGGGGTACTAGCGATACCACCGTTATTATTGGGTGGTACTACCGCCTGCTATTGACATTGGGAGGTACGATCGCTTGATAGAGCTCAGAGACCGAGCTTTGGCGGTACCACAGCCTAACAGGGGTGGTACTACCGTTGGTAGCATTAACTGCCATGGTACCACTGCCCAGACCATCCAGGAGACTAGGTCTCCCAAACGATGCCACCGCCGGCCATTATTTCAAGTGCTGAATAGGCTGTTTAATCAGGACCAATTCAGCCCTATTAAGGGCTTAGTTGGTCCCTAACTAAGTTAGTGGGATTACCTCCCAATCCTAACTTAATTTACGGATTAACTACAATAATTAAGATAATTGATAAAGCATTCTTGTTCTGGTACGTCAATTGATCTTCCAGCGAGCTTCCAACAATCTTTCAGCGAACTTCCGACAAACTATCGGCAATGTTCTAGTGGACTCTTGGCAAGCTCCTAAACTTTATTATGATCTTCTTGGCGAGTTCCAATGAGCTTCTTTGGCAAGCTCCTGGACTTCTCGGTTGATTCTGGCAGAACTTTCGATGAACGTCTAAACCTCCAATGAACTCTTGAACTCCCAATGAGAACTCGATCTTGACTCCAGCATAACACCCGCTTTGTATCTTATTGCTATCGTAGTTTATCCTGCACACTTTTCTCAATATATAGATTAGATCAAACAATTTACAATTGATTTCATCATCAAAATCCGAGATTCAACAATCTCCCATTTTTTTATGATGACAATCAATTGATGACGGAGTTATCCTTAACTCCCCCTATCTATATGCCATACTTTGAGAAAAGACATTCTTAAATTCAAGGCCTT